AGGTGAAGATGTGTTACCTGTTTATGCTGTCGAACATTTGTTTAATGATGCAAAGATGTTTTGCATCTTTTATGTTGCATTTGTTTAACTCTGTGAAGCTGTGTTACTCTGCCTGTCTAAAACACCTGATTTGTCTAGTAAAGAGTTAATAGCTAATAGTTAAATGGCTCATAGCTAGGAAGGAGGAAGGAAAGGTGGGGCTGACATGCATAGAGAATAAGTAGGTGGAGAAAAAAACAGAAGGAATGAGAAAAGGAGAGAGGACCCCAGGACCAGCTACTCAACTACATAGTCAGTTATGAAATAAGAGCGAAAGAAAGATACATAAAATAGAGAAAGATAAAATCCCAGAGGCAAAAGATAGATGGGATAATTTAAGAAAAGTTGACTGGCTGGAAACAAGCCAAGCTAAGGTCAAGCATGCATAAGAAAGAATGAACCTCTGTGTGGTTTATTTGGGAGCTGGGTGGTGGGCCCCCCAACGAGTAAAGAACAAGAGCAAAGAGGAAAAAAACAAAACTCCACACCTGTTTACTATTTGTTATTTATTTTCTGTTGTTGGTTTTTGAGACAGGGGCTTAGGGTGAAACCCAGGCTGACCTGTGGCTTGCAGGGATCTTTCCCTTAGCCTTCTGACTGTCGGGGTTACAGATGTGCGTACCACACACCAGACTGTCGGGTTACAGATGTGCGTACCACACGCTGGGCTGTTGGGTTACAGATGTCTGTACCACACCCAGACTGTTGGGGTTACAGATGTGTGTACCACACGCCGGGCTGTCGGGTTACAGATGTGTGCACCACACGCCGGGCTGGCTTTCCGGGATTGTTCCTTCCATGTCTTATTTTTGCATTTTCAAGTTCTATGAAGTTACACAAATTCTCAGTTCCTCAGAAATAATTTCTTACCAGGACAGACATCATCTGCCTGCTCCTTAGAGATAAACTGAAAGTCTATGGTTTAGGATTCTAAAAGATTTTGGATCTCACACTGACAACCTGCCATTTCTAAGTAGCTATATTTTCCGGCTGAATTTCTTCAAAAATCAGATAGAAAATGTGTAGAGCTGAGTCAGTGTGTTTTACATGTGAGATAAAAACCTAGACTTTCGGGAGCCTTCTTTTTAAAATGCCGTGTGTAGATAGATTCAGTGGAATCGGGGGAATTTTAAAAAGTTATTTAAATCCTATTAAAAGTAAAAAGTTTACTTTTCCCAAGAAGACATGCAAGTGTTTCATTGAACCTCTCGAAAGTCCTCACATAACTGAGGCAATTTTTTTTTTGCCTTCAAATTTCATGATTTTCTTTTTTTCTTTTTATTGTTTTTATTGAGCTGTATATTTTTCTCCACTCCCCTCCCTTCCTCTCTCCGCCCCTTCTGCCCTCTCCCATGGTTCCCATGCTCCCAATTTACTAAGGAGATCTTGTCTTTTTCTATTTCCCGTGTAGATTAGATCCATGGTTGCTGAGACAGTTTTTTTTTTTTCAAGGCTGGTTTTTTTTTTTTTAAAAACACATACAAACATTTTAAGGAAATCTGCTGTTTTCTTTTGATAATCCAGTTAGAAGCCAGGTATGGCTTCCTCTACCGATCCAGCCCCACCCTGCTCTGGGGCTTTAGTACTGCCCCGTGACTGGATGATTCTCCCACTGGACTCTGCTGCTGTAATCTCCCATCTGCTTCCCCACCCTGGGTAAATACCTTCCCTGTCAAGGGTTTCTGCTTTGGATACACTCTGTGGCAAGAGATGACTTTGAACTTCTGATTTTTCTGCCTCCACCTCGCTAGGGCCGCGACTGCAGGTGTGGAGCAGAGCGATCATTTTATGAAGCGCTGGGGACAGAAGGCAGCCCTCTGCCAGCTGAGCTACATTCCCAGCTTATCTCGGTCTCCTCCCTGGCTATTGCTGACGTGGTCCAAGCATCACCGGCACACCTGGGCTGACAATGCTTCGAAGAGAAACCTGTAAACAGGGAGCATTCCGTGTTCAGTTCTAGGTGTTGCGAACACTTTCTGAGACAAACCCTGGTCTGTGTTGAGCACTGCATGCGCTAAATTCACATCTTTTCTCCCGCCCTCCATGTTTGCAGCTTGCCCTCTCCTCATTATTATATGCAGGGAACTCATCTAAATAAGATAAATGTTGAGCTGGGTATGGTGGTGCACACGTGATTCCCGCACTCAGGAGGCTGAGGACACGAGATCTGAGGTTATGCTGGGCTACCTAGGTAACACTTGTCTCAAAATCAAAACACAACAACAACAATACACACACAGAGATAAATAGATAGATAGATAGATATGGAGAACACAAACAGATGAATATTAAATAACATACTGACTTTGGTTTGATTTGATATCAGTTCTATAATCCCTGGCTATATGGTCTTGGGAGCTTAGTTTCCCTAAACCACCACGAACTGGCAGATCAGAACTTTTGTGCCAAACTGAGTTCACTGACTGTTTTTGTGTTTTCTCTTAAGATTTCCTCCCTCCTTCCCTCCCTCCCTCCCTCTCCTTCTCTCCCTCTCTCCCTTTCCCTCCCTCCTTCTCTCCCTCCCTCCTTCTCTCCCTCCCTCTCTCCCTTCCTTCTTCCCTCCCTCCCTCCCTTCTCCCCTCCTTCCCTCCCTCTCTCCCTCCCTCTCTCCCTTCCTCCTTACCTCCCTCCCTCCTCCCCTCCCTCCCTCCCTCTCTCCCTTCCTCCTTCCCTCCCTCCCTTCCTCCTTACCTCCCTCCCTCCTCCCCTCCCTCCCTCCCTC